AAATTCATTTCCAAATCATGACTTTACTACCTGCAATAACATCGACAACCGGTGCCAGGTGTTTTATGGCGACTCAGGTACCGCATGACATATCTGGGCACCAACCGCTGACCTGGGCCCGTAACCGCCTCGCGGAAAACCCCGGTCTCGCAAAAATTATTAAAAATTTTTCTTTTCCTGACCTTGGTCACGCCCATTGCGAGGTTACTTTTTTTTGGTAACCTCGACACGAAGGGAGATTAAGTCAAAAATTCAGTGACAACACCAAGAGGAGAAAAGTGTGAAAAGTGTACGTTTATATTTTTTCAATAATGTCGTGTGACAAGACTTTAAAAAGGAAAAGAGTGGTGCTAAGTCTCGACGACAAATATAATATTTTAACACGGATGAGAAACGGTGAATCGGGATCTGCGTTAGCAAAGGAGTATTGTTAGAGTGCGTGTAATTGTATACTCTCGATCCGTGCGCCATCTGTAAAAAGTGTGTGTCGGAGAATGCCATGCAGGAAGGAACACGTGGGGAGTTAAACGTAGTATTCTTAGTGTTAAAGTTGGTTTATTGTTTATAATATATATTAGTGTAATAAGGACGTGTAGTATTATTTATCGACCACATCCCCAAGTATCCCAACATGGTAGGAGAACGTGGTTGATGGGGAAAACGTTGATAGGTGAAAGAGGTTATGATTACAAGGAAACACGTGTTTGAAAGAAAAAAGTTGAAAATAAAACCGAATGTGCATCAGAAAAACCTGGATGAATAGTTAAACGTGGTTAACCGGAAATTTTGTGAAAGACGAGATGTTAAAGTTGGCAAGCGAAGCACGGGGCAGTTATAGGTTAAGCACACGTTTATATGGGTGAAGAGGAATATTTAGAGAATGGACACGAATTATAAATTAGAGAGGTTGTTTTGAGGGGAAAAGAAAGGATTAAAGACAAGAATAAAAAGTTGTTTTTGGAAAGAACTCAGAAAAGTTATAATTTTGAAAAGTGTAATCGACAAGAAAAGGAGATTGAACGAAATCGAGATGGCTACACACGCAAAAATTGAAGATATTGCAATGCCTATTTTTGATGGAGCAAATTTCTCAAGTTGGAAAATCAGATTAATGACGTTGCTAGAATATAAAGAATGCAAAGATCTCGCAGTCAGATTAAAAACAGATAAAGAAGATGAAACACAATGGCAAAGAAAGGAGTTGAAAGCCAGAACAATTTTAATAAGCACTATATCAGATAAACAATTAGAGTATGTGGGCGACTGTAAAACAACCCTGGAAATGATGAAAAAATTCAATAAAATGTATGCAACTCAATCTACAACATTACAAATTTTATGTAGAGGTAAAATGGAGGAAGTTAAGTTGAAGAATTATGAAACGGTGGAAGAGTTTTTCATAGAATTTGGAAAGGCAGTGAACGAATTCAAATCAGCAGGAGGAATGATAGACGAAGCAGAAAAGCTGAGGTATCTGTTGAAAGCTTTGCCATCAAACTATAGTTATATTGGTGACTTCATTGATGTGATACCTGAAAGCCAACGAACAGTTGATTATGTGAGGTCGAAAATCAAGGAAAAGAACATGAATAGGAATCAAAATGACAGAAGAACTAATGTAAGTACAGGTTTGGGTGAGTCAATTATTCAACCAAGAAGTAAAAAAGTGCAATGACAATAGTGAGAAGTCAGGTGAGATTAATTGGTTGTTAGATAGTGGTTGTTCTGATCACATTGTGAAAGACTGTAATGTGTTTGATGAGTTTGTAATGTTGAAAAATCCTGTAGAAGTAGAATTACCCGATGGGAAAATTTTGAAAGCTACAAAACTTGGAAATGTTAAGACGTATTTTAAAGTGTATAATAATGAAAAAGAAATTGTTATCAAAAATGTCTATTATGTAAAAGGTATTAAACAGAACATATTAAGTTTCTCAAGAATCACTAAGAACAATTGTACAATATTAGCAAAAGATAACCATGCGAAAATTTTTGATCAAAATAGAGAACTACTAGCCGTAGCGTATAAAACGGATAATCTATATCGGATGAAAAGTTTTATCACAACAAACGAAAATAAAATTTATACGAATGTAACAAAATTAACCGAAAAAGAAAAATGGCATAGAGCATTAGGTCACGTAAATTTTCACTATTTAAGTAAATTGGTAAGAGATAAATTGTTGGTAGGTTTGCCAGATAAAATTGAAAACACAGAAATGAAATGTGCAAATTGCATTCAAAGTAAGATGACAAATGAACCGTTTCAAAATGCGAGAACAAAAACAACGGAAATTTTAGAGTTGATACACACAGATTTAAATGGCCCGCATAACACAATCGGGTACGGTGGTGAGAAATATTTTTTGACATTCATAGATGACTATAGTAAATGTGCTAGGATTTATAGTATTGAAAGTAAAGCAGAAACTGCAGGCTGTTTCATTGACTATGTAAACTTGGTAGAAAATCAATTTAATAAGAAGGTAAAGAAGTTACAATGTGATAATGGTAGAGAGTATATGAACAAAGAAATTTTCAATTTTATTAAATATAAAGGAATACAACTAGTGCCATGTCCACCTTATGTACATGAGCTGAATGGTGTAGCTGAGAGATACAACAGGTCTGCTATGGACATTGGTAGATGTTTAATGAGAGAAGCTAGAATACATAGGAAATATTGGTCTGAAGTAATGAAGACAGTAGCATATTTAAAAAATCGTACTACAGTGAAAACTCGATAAATGTCGCTACTCCGGGTCCGGTCAGCAACACTTACGGAATAGGAGAATCGTCTTTCGAATTTGATTGTAGTTTGCCGACACCTCGAACGTAGAAAGAGTCAGTAGCTAAAGAAGAAAGAGGGACTATTTATCGCCCCAGTTTAAATATCCGCGTCAGTGTGATCACACTACTGCGCAGAAGAAAGTTTTTTATTTTTTACTTTTTGTTAATAAAAATTTCACTATCATGTGGGGGAGATTTTTCTGATTAAAATGAGGCTAAACACAATATAAATCGGTCAATATTTGGTAGCATAATATTGAATTAAATATTGTACTTGCGAGTCTTTCTCTCTTTATTTATCCTTCTTGTGCTGTCCTTTTCTATGTTCGGAAACATCAAAGGACGACGGATCGAGGTGCTGGCCACATTTATCGAACGGGAGGTACAGTGAAAACTCGATAAATGTCTTCAAGAGCTGTTCCATAAATGATACATTTTTATCCCCACCACTAGGGGGATCCCCCTTGAACCAGTGAGGCGAAGTGTAACCGGAGACGTAGCGGCTTTCTTTAAAAATCTTTATTGCCTTCGTCAACTTAGTTTAAATGTCCCTGTCAGTGTGACCACACTACTGTACAAGAAGAAAGTTTTTTATTTTTTACTTTTTTTTAATAAAAATTTTACTATCATGTAGGGAAGATTTTTCTAATTAAAATGAGACTAAACACGATATAAATCGGCCAATATTTGTTACCATAATATTGAATTAAATATTGTGTACTCGTATCTTCGCAAGGTCAGTGGATTGGTACATTTATCGAACAGTGGTAGCTAACGAAACCCCCTATTTCATAAGTGTTGCAGTTTTTGATCACTTACGAAACGGTGGAACCGTTCCGTTTGAAAATAGCTACCTCCCGTTCGATAAATGTAGCCAGCACCTCGATGCGTCGTTCTTTGATATTTCCGAACATAGAAAAGGACAGCACAAGAAGGATAAATAAAGAGAGAAAGACTCGCAAGTACAATATTTAATTCAATATTATGCTACCAAATATTGACCGATTTATATCGTGTTTAGCCTCATTTTAATCAGAGAAATCTCCCCAACATGATAGTGAAATTTTTATTAACAAAAAGTAAAAAATAAAAAACTTTCTTCTGTGCAGTACTGTGGTCACACTGACGCGGATATTTAAACTGGGGCGATAAATCCGAGTTTCAGTCCCTCTTTCTTCTTTAGCTACTGACTCTTTCTACGTTCGAAGCGTCGGCAAACTACAATCAAATTCGAAAGACGATTCTCCTATTCCGTAAGTGTTGCTGACCGGACCCGGAGTAGCGACATTTATCGAGTTTTCACTGTAGCTATTTTCAAATGGAACGCTTCCACCGTTTCGTAAGTGTTAAAAAACTGCAACACTTATGAGACAGGAGGTTTCGTTAGCTACCGCTGTTCGATAAATGTACTAATCCACTGATCTTGCGAAGATACGAGTACGTACATGTTTGGAGGTGCCATTAAATACCTTTCCCTAACTCCACTAAGCATTTCACTCGAAATTGAACACGTTTTGGCACACAATTTCAGATTTTGTGAAAACTGAAATATTTTCAGAAATGTAATGTGTAACGGTTAACTCGCACATACAACAGAAAGTTTTGGTGTAGAAATTACTAGCAGGGTTTATGGTACACAGGTCAGCGAAATTATTTTGGAAAACCGTATGTCGCCTAGCGAACTCTCTTTACAAGGATTATTGACGAAATTTTTCGACCTTCGGAAGCCCACCGTAGCAGCAATAAATTTCCAAGAAACCGTTACTTGCTAGAATTCTAATTTTTATTATCTCGTCACGCTTTGCCAAGGGTTTTAAAGTGTCATAATTTTATGTTTTCCGCATGTTGATTAAAATTCGGAACGACCCTTAGTTTTATTACGCGTTGTGGTCATTGGCAAAGCTGTTCGGAGTCCCTGCGTCGGCCACTCGAGAGGTGCAATCCGGGCCCGGCGAGCCTCTTGACTTTTATTACTCGCTTTCACTCTGCTAAACTTTTCCTACGCTAAGTATTTTCCAGTTTCGTTTTCCGTCTTTCTGTCCTGTCTCTTTTCCTCTTGCTTTTCTATTAGGGTAAGGCGGTGTATATATTGAAGGGACGTTTTAAGAAAGGTTCTCAGTCTTGTTAGAGACGCGATCCATTAAAGTTCTGTAGTTTTGTAGCTGTAGTAAAGAGTTCTGTTAAACACGCGTTCACGATCGGATTACAAAATGTCGACTAAGAAAGTGACGTTGAATATTCAACAACGCCTTCAAGTGTTGGAGGATTTAAAAACTTTTCCTGTTCGGATTGTTGCTGCGAAATATCAAATACATCCGCAAACAGTTCGGAGAATTAAAAGCAACGAAATTCGCATTCAACAATTTGCCGCGAAGGGTAAAAAGCAGCAAAAACGGCAACGAATAAAGAAAGCAATGTACCCTGATCTTGAAGGACAATTGTTCACGTGGTTCAGTGAAAGAACAGCTCTTGGCGATCGAATAAGCGATATGCTCATACGAGAGAAAGCTGTAGAATTACAGCAAAATAGTGCAACGCCCTCAAATTTTAAAGTGAGTATGTCATGGGTGACAAATTTTAAACGGCGCCATAACATATGTTTAGTGAATGTGTGTGGTGAAAAAGCCAGTGCTGATACAAATGCAGCAGAAATTTTTAAACAACACTTTCAGCAGTTTATAGAAGAGCAGGACATCAACATAGAAAATATTTATAACATGGACGAAAGTGGGCTGTTTTGGAAAGCGCTTCCAACGAAAAGTTTATCCACAGAAAAAAGTGTAGCCGGCTTCAAAGTGAAGAAAGACCGAATTACCATCGGTTTATGTGCCAATGTTACTGGAACCAATAAAATGAAGCCATTGGTAGTTCATAAGTACAAAAAGCCAAGAGCGTTGAAGCACTCACTGCACAGACTTCCAGTCTGCTACAAATCCCAAAAAAATGCTTGGGTAGACCGTACAATATTCCAAGATTGGGTTGAAAATCATTTTAAGCCCAGCGTCCGCGAATTTCAATTAAGGAAAAACATCACTGGGAAAGTGATACTATTAGTTGACAATTGCACAGCTCATCAACTCTCACCATCCGAGCACGATGGAGACTTCTTTTTGTTAAAATATCTTCCACCGAACACCACATCCCTCCTACAACCGATGGATCAAGGAGTGATTCTGAAAACGAAACGAATGTTTCAGAAAGAAATGTGCCGCTCAATTTTAACGTATGAGGGTGGGGTTAATGAATTTTATGCCCATTATAATATAAAAGACTGCATAGATATTTTGGTGCACGCATGGGCAGAAGTTACGCCGGAAAATATACGACATAGTTGGAATAAAATAATTCCAGCTCCTTCACATATTCAAAACTATTATACAAACGAGAGTGAAGAAGACGGTTTGGAAGATGTGATATCCGTGATCAGTGATGGGCGAATATCACAAGAAGAAGCAATTATTTTTCTGAATACGTGCCGTGCAGAAGAAGAAAAAGTTACACAAAGTGATGCAGACAGTGACAACGAAAGTGAGCAGCACAGTGACAATGAAAGTGAGAACAATGATAGTGAAAACGAACACAACATACAATCACCGAAAGAACAAATAAAATATAAGTTATTGTGTTTAAAATACCATTTAATGAGAGCTAACTGTTTAACAGCAGAAATAGACCAGCTTACGTCTTCATAGGAAAACTAAAATATATTAAGGTAAGGATGAAATTGCAATGTTTTTTATTCCTTATTTTTCATTCAATATTATGCTACCAAATATTGACCGATTTATATCGTGTTTAGCCTCATTTTAATCAGAAAAATCTCCCCCACATGATAGTGAAATTTTTATTAACAAAAAGTAAAAAATAAAAAACTTTCTTCTGTACAGTAGTGTGGTCACACTGACAGGGGGATTTAAACGAAGGTGACGAAGGCAATAAAGATATTCGAAGAAAGCCGCTACATCTCCGGTTACATTTCGCCTCACTGGTTCAAGGGGGATCCCCCTAGTGGTGGGGATAAAAATGTTACATTTACGGAACAGCTCTTGAAGACATTTATCGAGTTTTCACTGTATTGTAAATGCAGTGGAGAATAAAACTCCCTATGAAATATTCTTTGGGAAAAAGCCGAACGTCAAACATTTAAAGATTTATGGCAGTCGAGTATTCGTTAGAAGTCCAGAAGCATTAAGAAAAAGCAAGTGGGACAACAAAGCCGAATTAGGTGTATTAGTAGGCTATACTAATTGTTGGCGATTACTTTCTTTAAATAGGTTTGAAAAGAAGGAATAAAACACTTTCCTTATAAATACACAGTTTATTATAATGTTTCATTCACGTCTATGCACGCAGTGTATACGCGTACCAGTATGAAAATAGTATGAAGGGTGTTTGGAACTTTTGCGATGCACACTGACGGCCAGATACTTTCGGACTGCACGGTCGTCGCTTTTGTCCCTGCTAGGACCCCCGCCCCTTTTTCTGCTTAAGGAAAAAAACAGACCCCCTTTCCCCAAGGCCTTTAAGTGTAAATCGTTGCATTCCAACACCCTTCCTCAACGATAGTCACTTATCCGCATTTAATTATTTACTAATTAATCCGCAGAACTCTATCATACTTTTCAATTTTATTTTCCCTAATGGCTTCGTAAACATATCAGCCAACATCTTATCCGTAGGGCAATACTTATAATCTAGAATTTCTCGATCCTTTAATTCTCTAACATAATGAAACTTAGTATCTATATGTTTCGTTCGATTACTAGATTTCTTATTCTCTATGAGCTTAAGACAACTTTGGTTATCCTCATAAATTATTGTCTTTTCTTCTGCCTTTCCATGAAAATCTGCTAATAGACTTTGTATCCAGACTGCTTCTTGTGATGCTTCCGCAAGTGCAATATATTCAGCCTCGGTAGACGACAAAGCTACACAGGATTGTTTCCGACAGGCCCAACTTATTGATGCTCCAAAATATTGAAATAAGTAACCGCTGTTTGATTTTCGATTAGTTTTATCCTGAGCCCAATCTGCATCTGCGAAACCAATCAGACCTCTCTTACCATCCTGCTGACCAAGTCTCAACTCATAATACATTGTCCCCTTTAAATAACGAAGGACTCGCTTTGCTTCCGTCCAGTCAACTGTAGTGGGATCCTTATTATGCTGGCTCAATATCGCAACGCTTGCTGAAATGTCTGGTCTAGTATTGACAGCTAAATATAACAATGCACCGATTAATTGTTGGTACTTATTATTATTTGGCATTGATGACGAACCATCCCTATTCTTTATGTAACCTAAATCTAGAGGTATACTGGAATTTTTCGCATCCTGTAAACCGAATCTGTTTAAAATTTTCTTTATATAATCCGTTTGCTTCATGCAGTAAAAACCGTTCTTATCTTTTCTAATTTCCATACTCAAATAATGTTTTAATAAACCTAAATCGTTAAGATGGAAATAGTGTGTCAAACAATCTGCTACCTTATCTATATTAGTTACATTTTTCGCCGCTATCAAAATATCATCTACGTAAACTATTATATAAATCACTTCATCTTCGTCACGCTTTACATACAAACATGGATCTGTTTTACTTGGTCTAAACCCGTGTTTCTTTAATAAATCGTTCAATTTGTCATTCCATACCTTCGCTGCTTGCCTTAATCCGTAAATGCTTTTCTTTAATTTACAGACATAATCCTCTTTGCCTGGTATAGCATAACCTTCGGGTTGATCCATATATATCGTCTCCGTCAAATTTCCGTTGAGAAATGTCGTCTTCGCATCGAAGTGTTTGACCGACATATCCTTTTGACCTGCAATGGCTAGAAAAGTCCTTAAGGTCGTTTGCCTCACAACAGGTGCAAAGACCTCGTCGTAGTCGGTTCCGTACTTCTGTGAGAACCCACGTGCGACCAGTCGAGCCTTGTATTTTTCGATATTTCCCTCGGCGTTCCGCTTTAATTTGAAGACCCGTTTACAGGTGACCATGTCCCGATCCTTTGGTTTAGGCACAATGTCCCACGTACCATTTTCTTTCAAGGATTTGATTTCCTCTTCAATGGCATTCTTCCATCTGTCCTTATGTGGTCCCGATAAAGCCTCTTTTATATTTTGCGGTTCGTTGTCTTCGGTTTTTGTTGCTTTTAAAGATGCTGCCATGTACCTGTCCGGTGGCACACCTCTGTTTGTCCTTTCAGATCGTCTACATTGCGTCTGATTTACCCCGTCGTTTGGTACATCACATTGAAACTCGCTATCCGTTTCATCTGCAGAACGAAAACTATCTTCCGTGTTGTTTTCTGTTGACAACTCCTCTTCAGTGATGTCTGCTTGCACGCTTTCCTGATTATCTCCATTCTTGAATTTAGCCCTTGAAAAAATAACTTCATTGTGCAGTGTCTTATTGCCGTTAATTCCTCTTTCGCGAATTCCATCTAGAAAAATCACATCTCGACTAATTTTAACTCGATTGATTTCGGTATTCAATAGTCGATACGCCTTCGATTCTTCTGAGTATCCGACGAAAATAAATTTTTCGGCTTTATCATCTAATTTTCTTCGCTGTTCCTTATGGATATGCACATATGCCTCACAGCCAAAAATATGCAAATGACTTACATCTGGCCTTTTTCGAAACCATAGTTCGTATGGAGTCCTTTCCGCTGCTTTAGTAGGCAACCTATTTTGTAAATAATTTGCCGTACATACCGCTTCGCCCCAAAATTTCTTCTCCATATGTGCATCCAACAGCATGCATCTTGCCATTTCCAGCAACGATCTATTTTTTCGTTCAGCAACTCCATTTTGTTGCGGTGAATAGGCTGCTGTAAATTGCGATCGAATTCCTTCCTTCCTTAAATATGATTGTAGATCTTCATTTATGTACTCCCTTCCTCGATCTGATCTTATGATTTTAGGTTTTTTACTAAATTCCGTTTTTGTCATTTCCACAAATTCTTTTATACGCGTTGCCGCTTCGCTTTTATGACTCGTCAGATAAATTTTAGTATGCCTGGAAAAATCGTCAATGATCGTTAAAATATACCTTTTATTACCTGGGGTAACAGTTTGCATTGGCCCGCAAACGTCCGTATGAATAAGATCCAAAATTGATCGAGTCTTGCTTGTTGATACTTTGGGAAAAGATATACGTGCCATTTTTCCCTTTATACAGCATTCACAGATCTCGCGCGTCTTACAGTCCTTTACTTCGATACCTGTCGCTAGACCTTTTTCGGACAATTCCTTAATAGCAACGGGATCACGGTGTCCAAAACGCCGATGCCAGGCATGCTGACATTCATCCGTATGCCCCTTATTTATGGCCTCATTGACCGCACAGGCCTTTTCGACTGTTTCCAACTCGTACAATTCTGGAGACAGTTTCGCCGTTGCCTGTAGTTTCCCGTCCTTAAGAATTCGACATTCTTGACTCTCGAAATCGAGCTTGTACCCATCTTTCGTTAGCCTTTTGACTGACAATAAATTACAGCCAAGGGTCGGAACATATAGTACGTTTCGCATTGGGATTTCGGCGACTTTCCCCGAGTCCACAACGTGCCTAATGGTTCCTGAACCGATGCCTTCCACTCTAGCCGTCTTTTGTTCATCTGCAAGACAAACGTGTCCCTTCCTGCCAGAGTCGAACTCACCAAAAAAATCCTTGAACGTTGCCATGTGACTCGTTGCACCGGAATCGACAATCCAAGGATTCGCTTTCCCTTTTGCCTTGAAACATACTTCTTTCGACGTTCCATCCTTTGCGTAAAAACAGAACTCATCGGAGGACTTGTCATTCGATGCTTTATTAGCTTTTTCCTGTTTGTTTTTCCAAGCCTTATACTTTATACATTCCTGCTTAAAATGTCCAGGCTTTTTGCAGAAAAAACAACTTTTCTTCGGCTGCGCAGCGCTGTTGTACTTGAATGCGGTTTTCATAGCTGCTTCTTCGAAATTATCTTTTGCATCCTTCGATCCCTTGCGCCTCTTATATTCGTCTATTAATTTACTCTTTATAAATTGCGTACTAAGTTCGTTTTCTGACCTACTTTCTAAAGCTGTTACTAAAGTCTCATACGATTCTGGTAAACTTCCTAATAAAATTGCTGCTACGAGATTATCAGGCAAATCCTGTCCGAGAGCTGCCAGTTGATTTATATAATTTGAAAAAGTCGTGATATGTTCTTCCATATCCCCACCTTCCTTTAGCATCATCCTGCATGCACGTTTTAACAAAAATACTTTACTTGTTAAAGTGGCTTTCTGGTGGTACCCTTTGAGTGCATCCCATGCCTCTCGTGCAGTACTAGCGGTCCTTATGTGTTGCAATTGATTATCTTCGACTAATAATCCAATTGTAGCACGCGCTTGGTCATCCTTCTTCGACCATACAGCATCTACCGGAATAGGCATCTCTTCTTTAATCACGTCCCATAAATTGTCCTTAATCAGTAAAAGTTCCATCTTGTAGAACCATACTGAATAATTTTCACCGTTTAGTTTTTGTATAGCGAAACGAAATCCTGCGTTATCTGCCATGATTTCACTGTATGTTTCTTCAACACAAATATCACTATCCTTAACTGTTCTTACAGTCTTTAGTCTGTATTGTCTTTATAGTCTGCACTTAATTACTTAATACACCGTTCACTAAAACATACTGAGTCCTGGGCCCATAACCTGT